GCTATCGCTCCGCCAGGTTACTCCTTATAGTGAGGCGACTTTAGGTGGGGCACGGCCGGCCTGCTACACTTTTGGCCCCCTATAATTATTCTGCCCTATGCCTCCCTACTTGAAAGACGAGAGTACAAGCATTCTGACACATTTAAATTAAATTATTTTTAATGTATTATCTGCTAAACAAAGTTGTCATGAGAAACAAAAATACAATATTCTTTAACTGACTCATCAGAAATCTTTGCAGCAATGGCTCTTTCAAAAAGTCTATTCCATCATGGATACAAAGAGACCTTACAGTACGCCGACAAAGACAGATACATACAACTGACAGGAACACTGACTGGAGGCATTGACCCCTTTGAACTTGACTGGAAGAAGCTGTCAGACAGCATTGAGCTCCTTCCAGCTGTCAATATTGTGGACATTACAAACTACCTCGTCTTCACAACCAAGGCCCACACAATGGTTCAGATGAGGGCATATAAGGCCACAGAAGCCTACAAATTCCTTAATGATGGCTGGGTACAAGGAGTCCGCTGCCATGTTGTTGACACAGACAAAGTTCTTGTCCTTGGAAAGGTAAATTATTTCTCTAGAGAAAAAAATGCATGCACATTGTTATTCAAAATTATTATTATCAACTAATTTGATCCACAAAGTGTAAAAAGGGAATGAGTCAGAAAATTGCACTTTTCAGTAGAAACTAAAAACTAGATTGGAAGGAACTAGCTGAGCAACATTAATTTTTATAGTGCTAAAATACTCATTTTCAATCACCACGTTCCCTTTTTTCACTTTGTGTATCATTGGATGTGTTTCTTTTCTAATAAATATTTTTGGTATTTCATAAACAGGTGAAACATTCCTATAATGTCAATGACACTCCTGCAAAGGCATGGGTACTGATGCTGAAGGATGGAACAATACTTGCCGGCTGGTGCTCTTGTATTGCTGGAAGAGGAGAAGCCTGCTCCCATATTGGGGCAGTGTGTTATGCGGTAGAATTAGGAGCCACAAAGCGAGATGCCCTTACATGCACATCAAAAGCATGCGAGTGGTTGCCCCCAGCCATGAGGGATGTCCCTCTTCTGCCTATCAGCGAATATGATTTGACGCCTCCTGACTCCAAAAGAAAGCGTTTACTTGACAGAGCTTCGGCGGGAACTCCTCAAACACCCGAGGACAACCCAGATGATCCAGTCCCTGCTGCTGAACAACCAAGAGCACTCACCGAGAAACAAAAAAAATTAATACTTACCTCTCAGGAAGTTGAAAATTTCCTTGGCAACCTCAAGTTGACAGACCCAAACTGTGTTCTCTTGAGGGTAAGTGAAAACCACAGTCAGGCTCCTGAAAAGCCTAGTGATGGCTTGCCAGACAGCCTTTTACATCTTTATGATGAAAAGTATGCTTTGATGACATATGAGGAGCTTCTGCCAGAGTGTCGAAAAGTTTTTGAGACCCTGTGCCTCTCAACAGAAGAAACTGCTCAAATTTTGCAGGCCTCTCAAGGACAAGGAGCCAGCAAGAGCTGGAAAAAGCTGCGAATAGGAAAATTTAATGCTTCTGAGATCCACAGTTGGTTGAGAACATCAGTAGAAGAGCCAGCCATTACTTACATCAAAAACAGCTGCTATCCCTCTGCTGAAGACAGGAGGACGCAGTACATGAGGGATGGCAATGACTGGGAGGCTGATGCCCGTGATTTATACAAAGAAGAAATGAAGATGTCACACTCCAACTTCAGAGTAAAGACCAGCGGGTACTTCAACATACCAGAATATGTCTACCTCGGTGCTTCTCCAGATGGCCTGTGCAACTGTGACTGCTGTGGAAAGGGACTAGTTGAAATAAAGACAAGACAGACATCAAACAGTAATGACATTCAAGTGAAGCATATGTACCAGATGCAGCAGCAAATGCTACTAGTTAAGACGTACTGCAAACTGACAGAGATTTACTGCGATTATGTCATCTACAGGCCTGGCCAAAAGCTCTTTATCGAGAGAGTTTACCCTGATGAAGAAATATGGAGAGAAATAATTGAGGAAGGAAGAGAAAGATACATTAAAATCATGCTTCCTGAATTGATGGGCAGGTACTTTACCTCTTTGAAAAACTTGCTGGAGTCAACCAGAGTATCACCAACGGTCTGCTTCTGCATGAGGCCAGCAAGGCAGCCAATGGTGAAATGCAATGATATAAACTGTACTTTCACAATTTTCCACTTTGATTGTGTGGGAATCACCAACAATAGAAGAAAAAACTGGAATGATTGGTACTGCCCTGAGTGCTCAGGAAGACGAACTGGAAAATTCTGAAGAGAAAAAAAGGAATTATTTTGAAGAAAAGGAGAAATAGGCAATAATTTTGAACACTTTTGGAATTTCGTATAAATACTCAAGCTCCACTACAGTATTTATATTGTTATTGTAAATTCCATGATTTGAATGTATTTCTTGCATAACGTTCTAAAGTAACTTTTTTAATTCATATAGAAAGATAAGTTATAATACTTTTGCCAAATATTGTTGCCATGGGAAAACTTTGTAATTAATTTTATAACAATACTGATATAAATTCTAATTTCACAAACAGAATATTGATTGATTTAATGTTGTATCAAAAACAACCCATCCCCACACATTGATTCTAAAGCAAAGCAATGCTTTGCAGAATTGTAACAGTGCATTATGATTTGCACCTGAAGCAGAAAATATTATTGACATGAAAGGCTTCATTTAAAGTTATAGTAACATTTAAAAAACAATACAACTAAACTCAATTTTCCTTAACTGGAGCTCTAAATCTCCCCAAAATGGTGTTTGCTTGTGCAATAGTGGGGTGCACAAACCGCAATAATAGGGAAACTACTCTCTCATATTACTGCATACCAAAGGTCATTACCAACCAGTGCCAGAAAACTCTGCAGCTGTCAAGGGCCCGCAGGGCAAAATGGCTGAACAACATTGGGAGGAAGGACCTCACGGACAAGGATGTGACATCAAACACTCGAGTCTGCAGTGACCACTTTCACACAGGTACAGTACATCTAGTTCACTTCAACACCAAGAAGTGTTAAGACTTGGAGCACTTGAATCATCTGGTGTGCAATTACATATCTACATTTGTTTTATCAGTGTAGCAATTTGCTATCTGTTCTGTCATAAAAATCTAAGACGAAATTTGTTAACAGGAAAACCTGCCCACCTATTTGATGAAACAAATCCAGACTGGGCCCCGACATTAAAGATGCGTCCTGCTGTTGCTTTACAAGCTGAAAACCCAAAAGCCAAAAATCCTCTTCAAAGGTTGAAAAGGGTCCAGCAACGTCATGCAAAGAAGCTCCAAGAAATAGTACAAAATGGGCAAGATATCTTACAAGATGAAAATATCCAAGACAATATTGAAGAGGAACGTACTGCAGAAGATCTGGCAGCAGAGTTGAAGACCACCATTCTTGAGAGGGACACACTGCGGCAAGAAAGAGATGCTCTTCAGCTGCGGGTAGACATCCTGGAAGCAGAGAACAAAAGATATCATCAACAGTACGGGTTTGAAGAGGCAGGTCTGGAAAATGACCAGAAAAAAGTACACTTTTATACTGGTCTACCATCATTCACCTTACTTATGGCAGTTTTCAACTTATGTAAAGACCATGTGCCCAGCTCCCATCGGAATGTCCTGACCCCATTTCAGGAGTTCATGGTGGTGATGATGAGACTTCGGCTAAATCTCTTGATGGAAGACTTGGCCTTTCGATTTGGTGTGACCCAGTCAACCATCTCCAGAATCATAACAAGATGGCTGGATGTTATGGCACTGCGGCTGAAGAGTTTCATTGTGTGGCCTGAGAGAGAAGTCTTGATTAAAACTATGCCAGAGTGCTTCAAAAAGAATTTTGGGACTTCAGTTACCCTCATAATTGACTGCTTTGAACTCTTCATAGAAACACCTTCCAATCTGGTCGGAAGAGTGGGTTCTTGGTCACAGTACAAGCATCACAACACCGTCAAATTCTTGATAGGCATAACACCTCAGGGCACAATCTGCTACATCTCTAAGGCATACGTCGGAAGGATGCAGGACACGCAGCTGACAAACCACTGTGGAATCCTGGACAATCTGAAATCAGGTGATGTGGTATTGTCTGACAGAGGTTTCAACATCTCAAACACAGCTGGCTTCTTGAGGGCCCATGTTGTACAGCCAGCGTACCTCTTTGGCCGCCCACAGCTCACGGGGGAAGAAGTAGATTCTACAAGAAAGATAGCAGCTGTCAGGGTCCATGTTGAGAGGGTCATCGGTCTTGTTAGATTAAAGTACAGAATTCTTTCAGACCGAATGCCTACTGATTCGCTCAAGACAAAGCCAGATCAAGCAATGCCACCAGTGGACCAAATAGCTGTAGTTTGCTGTGCTCTGTGCAACTTGTGCCCCCCCATCATCCCAATGTTTGACCGAGAAGAATAGATGAAGTGTTTCTAGGTTTAAGCAATATACATATTATACCTGTATTTAACTGTTGTACTAGTATTAATTTCCATTTATATCAGTATCTGTTTTTGAATGCTAAGGTCATGAACGCTGAGTTTCTATAGACTAATTTAAATTAATTTCATTCAATTCTAGTATGAAGTACATATATGATTGTTGTTATTTATAAAATACTTGCCTGCATGAAAGTCATTTCTCACTTGGAGGATATGAACGAGGAACTGGAACATAATAAAATGAACTAATTGGTTTTGATAAGACAATTGACACTACTAAAACTTTATCGGAATCATAATTACCTTTGATTTGTGGTCACCACTTCACAGTCTTCACGTTGTCATGAAACAACAGTCATGTAGCCGACTCTTGAAGCATCGTCACCACATACCTCTCAAAGGAAATAATTCAGAAGTCAACGTTTTAAAATATATGTATTTGGCTATGGAATGTTATGACTTGTAATAAATTACAAAAGTTATAAGGGCAATTAAGATTTATAAAAAGGGGAAGAACAAAGCCCTTCAAAAATTAAATAATCTATCCATATCAAAATTTAATATAATCAAATATTCTACCCAAATCACGTTCGAATTCCATGTAAATTCAACCAAACAGTGACTGAAAGAGACGCGCGGCGGCATGCAACAGCTCGTATTTCATAGCTTGTACTGGGAGAATTAATCACATCCAACAGTCAAAAACTGTCCCAATCTCATCAGAAAGGACGAAAATAGCGATATAATGCGGCACCGGGTCACAACTCCGCGTTAAAACCGCAAATCGGCCTAGAAATAATCACCTTATAAGCCGGGGCCTATAGGGGGGCTGCAGCGGATGTCCACTGTCATGGCCGCCGCCCACCGCCTGCTGGCCTCGTGCATATAACGAATAGGGTACCCCGCTCTAGGCACGCGGCGGCGGTGGAAGAAGGCAAGAAGCACAAAAGCGAGGAGTGGGGGAGCGCGTAGCGGCGGCGCGGAGCTCCCCCGCTCCTCGCTTTTGTGCTTCTTGTCTTCTTCTTCAGCCGCCACGCACCCGGAGCGGGTGACCCTACACGCTGTTCCAGGCCATTTAAAACGGTAGTAGGAAAAGAACAAACTCACTGACTTTTCTGTTACCGTAATGGCTCCGATAGGGTGTTTCGCTGCAATCGAACCGGAACCTAATGAAGAAAAGCATGACTGACCGATCTGCTTCCGTCTGCGCGCTCATTGGCTGACCGACATAACGTCATCGTTGACTAATCAGCGTTCAGGAGGAAACAGATCGGGCTGTCATGCTTTCCTTCTCTCGGTTCCGGTTGGCTAGCAGCGGAATACCCTATTGGTCGAGTTAATCCGCAGCCTTTCAGGTATCAGAGACTGATCAGTTTCGAGCTACCCTCCATAGTAGGGTTGTCCGCTTCAAGCCAACCGGAACCCAATGAAGAAAAGCATGACTGCTTGATCTGTTTCCCTCTGCGCGCTCATTGGCTGACGCGACAGCAACGCCATCTTTGACCAATCTGCGTCTAAGAGGAAACAGTTCGGGTTTAGTCATGCTTTTCTTCTTTAAGGTGACGCTTGGGTTGTAGCGGAATACCCTACTCAGAGGTTAGGGTCGGACCAAACTACCATGGTAACTTATCATACTGGGCGGACGGAAACAGATAAATCAGTGATTTTGTTCTCTTTCCCTTTCGTTTTAGATAGCCTGGAACACCCTACTGAGCTAGCGCCTTGAAATTTTCAGGGTAGTTTTCTACCATAAAGAGACAGATCGAGGTCCGAGATATTCTAGCTCAAAAATTAGTCTGTAAAAAACTCCTAGGAGGTAATTAATCAAAGAAGAACCCTTAGGCTAAAAGTTCGTCCGTGTTGCTGGAACTTCATACCGCTGAGGCGCTAGAGGGTATTTCTGGTAAAAATAAGCGAAAACATAACAATCTGCATGATGAGTCGCAGAATAGCCAACACCAAAGTTGCGGGCCGTAGGGCTGTATCTTTGTCTACATTTTTCCGCTACTCGACTTGGGTGTCATAACTGCAGGCCTAGGAACATGTATGCCAGGCGCATCGTAGCGTAACAGTGTTTCGTGAGATATCGTAAAGCCTGTTACGCGAGACGTAGTACATCCACCTTGTAATGCAAGACATTTTGTAGTAAAATCATCAACTTTTTTTTACAGTCAACCGACCCTTTAAGACACGTATCACAATGTGCTGGCGCCAGTCCGTGAAGTTCGCACGCCCCTAAACAACTGCTCCCAGTCCCACCTTGTCGACACGCACGTGCGGACAGCCAGCCTAGCCGTTTAGGCCTTCTTCGCGTCACGCTCACTTGGCCTGTCGTGGTAGTATCAGAAATAGAGGCTGCCCTCTTCGTGCAGAAGACGGGTCACCCAGTAGCTTCTTTCCTGTTCTTTTTTCCTTGTTCTCTCGTGGCATTACCGATGTAGTCAAAACGTAGCGAAGACCAGGTAGGTTTTCTTTTGCTACAACTTCATTTAAGCTGCCGATTTAAGATTTCCATTTCGGCTGAGGCTATTGATTCTCAGAATGTTTTGTGTACCTTTGTTGTCAAAGATAGTCTATGGAGGTGTGTTTAAGGTGTTTTTGGCTCAGCGAACGTTTGTTATTGGCTGAGCGATTAGCGAAGCCTATTACTCCGTCTGGTCGGAAAAAACTTTTTCTGTCTGTCTGTCTGTCTGTGTGTCTGTGTGTCTGTGTGTCTGTGTATCTGTCCGCACGAAAACTCGAAAACGAATTGAGCGAGCGACCTGGGATTTTGAGGGTCGTTTTGTATCATAAAAAGACAGATCGAGTTCGAAGATGAGCATTCTAGCTCAAAAATTGGATTTTTAAAAAATCGAAAACAACAGGTCCCAAAAATGACGTTTTTTAAAAATATTTTTTTATGCTGTCATAAGGGGTAACTCATCAAAGTAGAGCCCTATGGGCGAAAATTTTGTCCGTTTTACTCTATCTCAAACCGTTGAGGCGCTAGAGGGTGTTTTTGACGAAAATAAGCGAAAAAATGTACAACCCTGCATGATTAGTCGAAGTGACGGGCGTTGACGGGCCGGAGGCCCGTATCTTTGTGCACATTTTTGCACTACCTGACTCGGGTGTCAGCGCCGCAGGCCAAGGTAGATGTGTGCCAGGTGCGTCGCAGCGTAACAGTGTTTCGTGAGGTATCGCGAAGCCTGTTACGCGAGACGTGGTCTGGCGTACATCTACCTTGTATTGGCTAGCCTTGTCATTTCTTTTTCACGAGTCTGCTCCTGGGAGGACCTGAGTTTGTGATGACAAGCAAGCTGGGGGATATGGCGTTAGCGACCAGGGGAGTAAAGGGAGTGGGGGAGTAGGGGACTAGGGGACCTACTCCCCTCCAGTGAAAATGGCGGTCATTTAAGGATTTTCTCATTTATTGGCTGAGCGATTAGCGAAGCCTATTACTCCGTCTGGTCGAAAAAAACTTTGTCTGTCTGTCTGTGTGTCTGTGTATCTGTCCGCACGAAAACTCGAAAACAAATTGCGCGAGCGACCTGGGATTTTCAGGGTCGTTTTGTGTCATAAAAAGACAGATCGAGTTCGAAGATGAGCATTCTAGCTCAAAAACTGAATTTTTAAAAAATCAGAAACCACAGGCCCCCAAAATGACGTTTTTTTAATACATTTTTTTTACTGTTTACTAAGGGGTAACTCATCTAAGTAGAGCCCTGTGGGCGAAAATTTTGTCCGTTTTGCTCTAGCTCAAACCGTTAAGGCGCTAGAGGGTATTTTTGACGAAAATAAGGCAAAAATGTACAACCCTGTATGCTTAGCCGAGGTGACGGGCCGTTGACGGGCCGTAGGCTCGTATCTCTGTGTACATTTTCCAACTACCTGACTCGGGTGTCAGCGCCGCAGGCCTAGGTAGATGTATGCCAGGCGCGGCGCAGCATAACAGTGTTTCGTGAGATATCGCGAAGCCTGTTACGCGAGACGTGGTCTGGCGTACATCTACCTAGTATAAATGTGATCTCACTCGAGGGGAGTAGGTCCCCTAGTCCCCTACTCCCCCACTCCCTTTACTCCCCTAGTCGGTAACGCCATATCCCCCTGGGATCGGGGATTCCTCAAGCAGAAGACAAACTCTTTGACTTTCGACGGGTTTGATTGGCTGAGCGATTAGCGAAGCCCATTACTCCACTGACCGGAAAAGTTTCATTCTGTTTGTCTGTCTGTCTGTTTGTGTGTTTGTCTGTCTGTCTGTCCGCACGATAACTCGAGAAAGAATTGAGATAGCGACCTGGGATTTTCAGGGTCGTTTTGTATCATAAAAAGACTGATCGAGTTCGAAGATGAGCATTCTAGCTCAAAAATTGGCTTTAAAAAAAAATCAAAAACCACAGGTTGCCAAATATTTCTTTTTTTCAAATATTTTTTTCTGGGCTTCTAAGGGGTAACTCGTGAAAGTAGAATCCTGTGGGCGAAAATTTTGTCCGTTTTGCTCTATCTCGAGTCTATTAAATCGTAAAATTTAACTCGTCTGGGGTGTCAGCGCCGCAGGCCTAGCTATATGTGCGCCAGGCGCGTCGCAGCGTAACAGTGTTTCGTGATATATCGCGAAGCCGGTTACGCGAGACGTGGTCTGACGTACATATAGCTAGTTTAAACGAACAGTGAAGAGTTTTATATTTACAGTCTAAAAGACGATAATGAAGGGCCGTCGACCCTCTTCGACACCCTTTCCGAGAAATTTCAGAGCCTAATATTCCACTGATCTCTAACTGTTATCTTAGTTATAATATTTATTAAAGTCGTCATCAATTATTCATAACCTCAAATCCAGCTGAGTTTGGTCATTCAAAGAATGAAACATAAAAATATGAGTGCATTTGGTTATGAATGATTTCTCTTAACAATACGCTCATCTTTGCACATTAATCCAAAGCAAAAAAATAAATGAAAATAATTAAGAAATATGTCAAATTTATGACTGCTTATATTTTATATTTATCATTAGAGATATTTTCTATCGGAGACAGCCCAGCTTACATTGCCAATATTAATTCACCTGAATGATTTAGAGGAAAATTGATGTATGACAACTTTCATAACCAAAACCATAATTTTGTTCCCTCTCTGTATACTCTGTAGAGCCGGAATTCCCCCCAAAACAACACTGAAATTCCATGCCCAACAAAAGCGGTGTTAAAAGGGCGGATCTACTGGGTGTTTTTTTTTTTTGCTGGGGGAATTACCCGTTATCATTAAACCTTGTCTCACTATATTTATACCCCTTTGAAGAACTTCTGTTTCTTCTTTGAGGCTATTTATTTCTTTATTTGCTTCATCCAAGTCTTCCTTCAATCTATCTCTCTCCCTTTTCAGTTGATCTCTCTCCCTTTCCAATCCACCTCTTTCCCTCTTCAATGCGCCTTCCTCAACCTTCTGCCTCTCTCTTTCCGCCTCTCCTTTTTTTTAATTTTTCGTCCAAACCCTTCGCCTTTTGCTTGTAGTAGGCTTTTTTTGGGTCCTCTGTCACCCTCGCTTCTGCTTCCTGCTCGGCCCGCTCTCACCGCTCTCGCACCATATCTCGCATGTATCTCTTCGCAACACGCATGAAAAACGCCTGAACGCTTTTCAAAAACGCCCAACGCCTCACACCAACGCTCAACGCCCGAACGCTCCAAAAAAACGCTAACTGGATATCTTCAAGGCAGTTACATTGATTAATTAATAAATTTGAAAAAAGTTGTTAACATCGAGGGGGCCTCAACTCTCTTGTAGGATGTACACCAGATTGCAAAGATTGCCAGATTGCTTGACGAAAATTAAGCTTTAACAGCATACACCGCAACTAGGCAAAACGCACTAATGTCACCCTCAATGTAGGCAAAAAATAGGGCTTTTGCAGCCAATTAACTAGAGATTGCCGAAGATTATCGTGGATCCAGATTGCTGGAGTAGAGGCCCGGCTGTGAAACGCTGGTCAGCCGTCGCGTCGCGCGTCGGACGGCTGTGGCCCAGCCGTGCACGGCTGGGTCGGTTTTGGCGTGGCGGAGAGTGGAGCACCTGGGCGTTGCAGTGGCAGCGCGTGGCGAAGTGCCGCCTGCCGGAGCTGCCGCCCCGAATGCAAGCAACCCAACGAACGCTCCCCACCACGCTCACCACAGCCAGCCGTGGACGGCTGTGGCCCAACCGTGCCAGTCAGCCGTGGAGCCAGAATTTGGAGATCTCTGATACAGAGGTCTGTACACTTTTATAAAAGCTTATACAACATTGTACTCGATTTTATAAAAACGTACACAACCCTCTGTAGACTGTAATGTCAGAGACAAGTAAAGCCATTTGATCAACAACGCTGACATTCTCGTGAGTTGACCTCTGGCGCCAGCTAGCCTCTCCTTGGGACCTCCGCGGGACTGTTTGACAGCAGCGAGCGTCACAGCGCGATCAAGCAGAGCTCAGTCGTTGTGCAGTTTCGGTTGAGTCCAGTCGTGATCGTCCGTGCCTGTACCGTTCCTGCTAGAACCAATAAACCCACTGATCCAGTAACTGCTGTGTCTCCGTTACTCAACTCAGTCACTACCTGACGCTACAACACAGTTTTACCAAATATAATAAACGTTTATAAAATTTCATTTAAATTTTTATAACGGCGTATACCTTTCTTTACTGCATTTTATAAATTTTCGTAAATATTTATTGAATTTGTATAAGTTACAAACCATATTTACCCGGGATCACTGGAGTAATAGGCTTCGCTAATCGCTCAGCCGATAACGGAGCCCCGGTGGTGCGACCACCTGGTTACTCACGGTGTACTGGTTACTCCGTGTGGTTACTGATCCATCCCTGGCCCGGCAGGTAGAATCGCATTGCCAGGTGATTCGGTCGCAGCTGCTGTCAACCACTAGAGTTTCGTCGCAATACACTTAGTCAGGCTCGTGGTAGTTCCGCCATGTCATATTTCGAGGACCAGCCTAATTCAGATGAGGTAAGCTATTTCAAATTTTATTTGGTTCCGTCTCGCGACCGCGTCTCGCGTAACAGGCTTCGCGATATCTCACGAAACACACGCTGCGACACGCCTGGTACACATCTACCTAGGCCTACGGCGCCGACACTCGAGTCAGGCAAAAGGCTAAGTCGAAAATAGGCCTTCGGCCTCTAAAGTCGCGGGAAAAAAAACATTAAGATGTTTTGGAGCCATTTTCGTGTGGAAAACGTCCCCATGGCGCCTCAACGGTTAGAGATAAAGCCAAGCAGAAGAATGCGAGGAAGAAGAAAGCGGATATCGCTATGCTTTTACATGGTGACTTCCGTTTCCCTTTTCCCTGCATTCTTCTGCATTTCAGATTCACCGGAATGCTTTATTCCTTAGTTCACTGGTTCTACTTTTGTCGAATACTTGTATAAATACCTACTTTTTAGCCCGCCCTTCTGCTTTGAAAAAGCTATCCAGCGGGCTTATGCAAACGACCTCGTGT